AATAAATTTACATTATATACTAAAAGTTATTAAAATATTAAAATTAGCTATTTATTGTTGGAGACGGTTAAAATATAGTTTGTCACTATTTTTTATAAAATCCTGTTTTAGAGGGTTAAATGTAGCCCAAAACTAAATATAGACCTCCAACCTTGAAGATAGAAAACAACTGTGACCAATTAGCATTTGATATTGACTCGAGTAAACTGCAGAATTATAATTATCTTCTCACCCCCCTATTTAGTATGTACTAGTACTTCATTCCCGTTCCAATACATATCCTTACATTTCCCCCAAAAATAATTATAATTTGAAGTTGACCCAATTAAATTGTAATTATATTCCAAAGTGAATCTCACAAATTAGGGGGGACAAGTGCCCACTGGGGCAATATTACCCACATAATTTTTAATTTCTAAAATTTCCACACAATTAATTGGCTTCTTTTTTGGGTAGCTATAGCTCTGGAGTCTGAGAAGTCCACATTTATGTGCTGGCTAGCTGACGTGGTTGGCGGAATTAACACCACGAAGCAACAACATTATTTGCTCTGCCCCATGTACTTAATTGATCTAATCATACGAGATCCCTTTGGATTCTCTGTGGCTATTAACCTTAATTCAGCGAATCTTCCAGTTAGCTAGTCATGCTCGCAAATTAAATTTTCATTGTCATTATACAGCACACTGAGAGTGATGTCCCTCACCTTGTTCAAAGCTAGAAATAGCCGTTAATACGCATTTGAGTGTCAATTATTAATGCAAGTGAATTTTATAATACATCAATGGCTCACAATAAGTAATATTACCTATGATGGGAACAATTATTATTGGCTTTCTTTGGGATTCCTAGTTCCTAGCTAGTTATGGTTGGCAGAGAGCTTGTTTGGGATTGCTTCGTTATAAAGTACTTCTACTCATAAGCGCTTCTAACAAATGAGCTTTTATTATAAAAATCTTGAATTTTCATAAAAAATTAAAGTACTTTTTGGAAAAGCACTTGGGAGTGCTTCTTGAAGAAGCACATAGTAGTGCTTCTTGAAGAAGCGCTTTTATGACCTAGAAGCGCTTCTAAACTTTTTTGTCAAACGCTGTCAGAAGCACTTTTCGTTATCAGAAAGCGCTTTTAGTCTTTCCAAATACACTCCCAAACAGACCCTTAGATAGCATCCTACTAAGTAATTGTTGTTATAGTAGTTACCGAGATTAATGAAATGATTATGCAGCCCCTTAAGGACACAAACTCGACCGAATGCATTTATCAATAGCTTGATGATTAATTATATTATTTATACATACAAATCTCAACAAGCAACTAAGCCTAAAAGCTTAAACCGTAGTCGGCCCTTGGATCAATCATCAATGGGTTCAGTGGTTAAGTCCAAGTCATTATTGACGAACCAGTGTTGCTTTTTTAATTCTAAATAAATAAATAACAAGATATGTGTAGGCCATTTTCACGGAATCATTCATTCAGTCTCCTGAAGCACGACGCCAACACGTCCAAATGCATTCGGGTTTGTTGCAAATGCAATGATATTTGCTCGATTCTATGTGCATTTCCCATTGTTCTTTGGTGATAAAAAAGTAAACTAGTTTTATAATTTTATTGGCTCCAGAAATGGAATATTGTTGTGGTTGCAGTGTAATAACACTACCGCTAATATCTCTCATGGATGGAACCGGCCAGGTTCATTGAGGTTGTCAAAGTTGTTTTCATTTTATTATAATAATAAATAAATAAAAAGAGAAAAGCGACCTTATAATTGAGAAAAATACCTAATTTATTAGGCAAATAAACAAGAGGAAACTCCATAGGCAAACAAACAGATTGTGGTGTACATGCTTCCTAGAAAAATACAAAAATGTAAACATTTATAGGAAATTCAGTCCAAACAAACACCATTTATAGAACTGTAAAAATTCATGGGAACAGGATCTGACAGACTAAGAGCTTTCAAGTACTTTATTTAGTTACTAATTAAATTGAGACTATACTTATCCGAGTCATTCTATAGTTAGTTCCTTGTCTAATATCCTTAAATGAGGTCATATCTCTTAACCGTATGATAAAACTAATCAATTTAATCCAACAACTAACTAATTTGATCAAACGATTAAGAGACTTACCCGCATCACTTGCACTCATTCTATGAATTACAAATGTTTTGCGCCTCTAACTGTACCCACAGTGGACTTTCTGTTTCTTTAAAAAATATGTAGCGAGACCAAGCCCATTGGGCCTTGCCTTTCAATGAACTTCCATTTGGCAAATTACAAATTTGATTTGATAAAGATGTACATATTTTTAAGGAGATACAGTTTCTGTGTATCTGCAAAAAGAAATTATGGGAGGTTGGAAAGTGGCGGGATCTCTAGAGGTACACCAGGAGTAGGTTGCAGTACCTGCGCATCTGGTAATTCCTTGGACAAAAGTTCCTGCATTACATAACCATGTAATCTTAAGAGTTTATTTTCTTCAAAAGCATAATGACTCAAATATATTTCTCAACAAGGAGTTGAAGAAAACAACCTTGAATGATTCTATTGTTCCTTCAGCCTGAACTAAACTAGCAAGAAGCCCTTTGCTATCCAAGTCTCCGTTTGTCATTGGGACAATGAACCTACAAAATGTACAACAAAGACATTGAAATACTTACAATAAAACCATCTTTCTTTATATGTCAGTGTCAAGGTAAAAAGAATTTGTACTTGGCATGCAGCAGCTTTGCAAGTTCAACTGCATCTTCTTGTCCAGACACCAAAGTAAATTTAGGCAGAAGCTGCTTTATGACCGGCGTGATGACAATGTCAGCCCTTTCCTTCTCCACTGAACTCTTGTTGTATACACAATGGGGTTCATAGTAAAGAGTAAATTTCCCTTCTGGAGAACTGACAAGATATCTGGTCCACATAGCATACATATATACTTAATATTCGTTCAACTAAAGAGTAAATATTAGATAACAGACTACATCAAAATCAAATCTACATATAGGTAACATTCCTTGGAAATACACTAGACTAAAAGTTGAAGAACATATTATTGAAGGAAGTTGAGGTTCCACCCCAAAACCAATTGGCAATGGGGGAAGTAGCCCAACTCCTTATAAACCCAGGCTAGGTCCCTTAACATTTCAATGTGGGACAAACACTCTCAACAATTATACCTCAAAGGAACTGTAACATTCCTTGAAAATGGAATTCACTAGTGTCATATTGGCAATAGATGAATGAAACCTTACCCATTTTCAGGGCGCTGCCAAGGAGGACCAAGAACAGGCCCTGCAGTGGCCTGAACTTTGACTGTAGAACCACTTCTTGCTTCAATTACGGAGCTCTGACCAGGTTCCATATATGTGACCTGAAAAACGAAAAAATTAGAGTGTGAGTATCAAACAGAGAAGAGGCATCTGAATTTATGCTTCTGAGGGCATAATTATTTAATTATCTTGAATGCTAGTATTGCAACTTTCAGAAACCAATTGAGACAACGGTTTAGGTTCAGTTGTTACAAGAGATGTGATTTTGGCATGGAATTTGTCTACGGTCATGTCCACCATCTTAGCAGTAAACGCAATTACCCAAAAATTGACAGGGAACAGCTGAATAAGAACAGAGGCCCCAGCCTGATTGACATCTCCTGCCCAAAAACTATGCTAGTTCTTGAGAAAAAGGCATTGCTTATTGTTAAGTTATGATTTTGGATTTCATTTGATCATACCATATAAGTGTAGTGTCATTATCAGCTTGTTATAGTATAGACCACCAAGCCAATTTTTCTCAGGTCTTAATTTCTTTGATGGTGACTACAACGAATGAATAGCATATGTGAAAATAAAAAACAAAACAGAAATATTCAGGAGCTGCAGCCTGTAAAAGAAAACGCTAGTTTCAGATTGAATATGCTTACATTGCTGAAAAGGGGATCCAACAACGTCTGAGCATTGGGTGTAGCTATTACTCTAAGATTCAGGTACTTTTCAGAGAGCGGCTTTAAAGTCTTCAAATGGCAGTGGTCATCGAGGCTTTGTGTGATTAATAAACAATCAACTTCTGGAAGATCACTTAGCTGCACTAAAATTGCACACCCAATCAAAACAGGCTTATCAATTCCAGAACAATTGTACTACAAGATAATGGCAACATATGCATAACAACAAGGCAAATTATATATAAAAAGGAAATTGAATTAAGAACTAAAAGACTACCTGGAAATTCTTCAAAAACTTCTTGGCAGCATCATAAAGCCAGGGGATCCCAAAATCCAAATTACCCACCAAGATTGGATCGACCAAAATTTTCAACCCACCCACATCCCACAACCAGCTATTCCCCTAAAGCAAAATTTTGTATGCATATGTCAGGAAATGCCCAAAACTAATCAAATCTAAGAAAGACCAATAAGAATATGAAAACCCACCTCCAAGTAAGTGAGTTCGAACCCATCAGTGCCGGCGAAACTCGACTGAATTGCGCTTTTCTCAGAAACCACAGCAGCAACAACCCTACCAATCCTGCAAATATGTACAGCTGAAGACAGCTCTAAGATTTACAAAACCCTGCATATATGAGGGAGAGAGAGAGAGAGAGAGAGAGAGAGAGACCTGGACGTTGAAAGCCTCAATTGTTTGGAACTTGCGCGAATGGGAGTGGGGCTAGGAGTCGAGAGAATGGGAGAGGGCGCGACAGGGGATAAGGGTATTCTCGGCGTGCATGGTCTGCACGACCAGAGAAGAGAGCTGCACTGACCCACAGCCATGGCCTTCCCGCGAATTTTGAGAGCGATTGAAGTGCGTAGTTTATTACTTTATTATTAGTTAAATCATTTTCATTTCCTAAAAATTCAAATGGATTTCATGCTGCCACTTGCCACGGGCTCACCCACAAGAACATTTAACTTTTTATTATAAAAAGAATGATTAATAAATGGTAAATCTTTGAAAATTAATTTAATGTGTGTAATGGTTTTTATTTTTTGATCTTTTGATTAAAGAAAAGTTAAAAGAATGTAACTGAAATTCCTTTCTTTTGTAGGAGATAACGCAGCAATGCACCAGCAAAGTTGCAACTCAATATACACAATTTTGTTCAGCACATATAGCTAAAGAAAGAAACCAGCAAAAACTTGGATTTTCGCTAATCTAGGAATCTTTAATTTGTTTGGCTTCACCTGAAACAGAAATGCTTTACAATAAGTGGTTCTTGTACATTCAAATCTTGAAGGCAAGTTGTCTTTCCCATCTTTTGGGTTGATAAGGTATGATACTTGCAATTTTGTTACCTTCAGGTTCTGGCAACTCATCCTCAGAGGGGACTTTCTCATGCCAAACAAACTCGTTTTCATGTTCATGCTTCCTGAGTAATTCCGCAAACTTATCAATTTCCTCTTTGAGAACATATTTCCATGACTCTTCGCCTGGCATTTTCTTCTTCTTCACATCAACCAGTGCAACTCGAAGAACTCCGATGGCAGCCCCGAATTGGTTGGCAATCTTCAGGCTTTCAGCAAAGTATTTCTTACTTTTTAACTCATGTAGCGCTTTGCAACATGATATGAATTCCTGTACAAACCAGAAAGAGCAACCAAAATGGGAAAGAAAACTTTCTGATCAGCCCCAAACTGTTCATTCAAGGTGAGGAAGGAATATAAAAATATAACTGTGCAAATGAATGCACACATACCACAATGCGTGAAGAAATATCATTACAATCCCTACTTGCTGTATTTAAAACACCTGCAGCTTCATCAAGCAACTCTGCAACACCATGATGCAACTTTGCCAAAAGACCCACGGTAGTGCCCTTCTCTTCAGCCCTCTTTGTTGTTACCGCCTATTACATTTTCGTAACAACATCAATTATCACAAAGAAGCCTACCGTAAAACTTTTATCATCTCTTTAAAACTGGCCTAGTAAAGAAAAGTAAGTGGATTTATTCATATATCAGTATGGACAGAGCAAACATCCGCAATTCTGTAATGGAAACTCACCTGGGCCTCGGCCAAACAAATGAGGCTCATGACAGTGGACACAGATGAGACAACTTCTGGTGGCCTTTCCGCAGTGAGTGAATATTGTAGAATAGGAAGAACCTTATGAGCAAGATGATGAAAAACACCAGCAGCTTCTCTGAAAAGGGTGGCCGATTGCACTAGGTCTATGACAGCGCAAAGAAACTGATCAGATAATTACATCCATGGTCACAAAAGAAATAATAATAACAATAATAAAAGATCTCAAAAGTGCAATATGAAGGTAAGCTAGCATCTTCTACCTGCAGGAAGAACTTCTAATGCCCTCTCCTGAAGGATTGCACCATAAAGGAAAAGGGTCATACCAATCTCAAACTGCAAGCTATTGATTTGAAAATATTTTGGACCTTTAAAGTTAAAGAAAGAAGATGAACTAAGAGCACTAGTCCATTGCATCTTAAGTTCTGAATTCCATCGAACTATCTGGCCGAAGTCGCTGATCATGCCAACATGGAAAATCAAATTCTCCAGCAATGGAAGATACATTTCTAGGTTGTGAAGAACCTGAGACATTGAAAAGAATACTAGAATAAGCAAAACATCAAATGCTATCAGAGACTGGATTAAATAGTCGTACTAGATGCAAACGGAAAGAATCAATTTGTACCAAATAAATACGCAAGTTCTCCATGTAACATTATCTCACAACCTAAAACACATGAAGATTGAAGGACGGCATTAAACTAACATAAGATTATTAAACACAAAGATATGAGTTCAACAAATGTTTCATCCAAACAGATATTAAAGTACCTACAAACAAACAGAGTTCGTCATTAGAACAGGGTAGTGCCAGTATTACTAAACAATAAAGCTTTTTACGTATATTCAAAGGGTGACATTAATATGCATGAAAATGAAAGATGCAAACTAAATCTCATATGCCTGGAAAGAAATAATAAGTGGGTCTTCCAAATATCAAATGCCATACTGACAAATTACCTGTTGAGAACGAGAAGTTAACCCTCCAGACATTTCTCTTGCAATGGCCGTAGTAATGGAGCTGCTCTCATTAATAGACTCCTCAATCATTCTACGCTTAGAGCTCAATTCTTTCAGTTGCTCAAGTGTTATGGAATCACGAGCAGCATAAGCCTCTTCAAACACAATCTGTCCCCATTGACAACAAATCACTTGGAAAATTATTAACCACACAAAGAACAAGTAACACTGCCGAATAATTTATTGGACATATATCCACTTCTATGTATTCATCCCCAAAACCTTCCAAAATCTTTCCTCCAAAAGAGTAGACCAAAATTTCATTCAGTGGGTTGACAATGTCACATTATTAAGTTTATATTTTTTGTTGTCCTCCTATTGTGGGTCCTAAACATGATTTTCTACCCAACAAAATTCACGAAAACCCAACTGGGTCTATGCTCGTTCACCATTACCTCAATCTCAATCCTGATTACAAGCAAGCAACATGGCATGACAAAATTGGAAATTTGATCAACTGGGTGTATAATAAGCTCAGTATAAAAAATCCGAAAAAAACAAAATTCAAGACCAAAGAAGCTTAATAGCACCATAGACTCTCCAAAACTAACTAAAAACACATTTACCACCAAAATATAAACTCAAGAATATGAGAGGCACCGAGAAATACCTTCTTAGTCTTCAACTTTGCCGGGTCTCGAAAATGAAGCATCATCGTTGCCAATTAAACAAAGCCCAGACAATATCTGGGTTTTACGAGAAGTTTCTAAAACCTTTACCTTTACAGAGCTCAGATTACTAGTAGAGATCAGCTTTCAGGTTAAGAAGCAGAGAGAAGAGTAAGAAGAGTGTGGTTCGTCCGCGGCTTATTTAGCGCGTACCATTTTCCAATGGGTTTTGTTGTTTTGGGTCGTTTTCAGGATCATTGCCTACTGGATTCGTTCGTTTGCTTCTCGGCTAAGATTTCGATTTTTTTATAAGAGGTCATTACTCTAATGGGCCCCTGATTCTACATTCTTCAAGCGAACGTGGGCTTCTCCGGCCGACTCTCATAATTTTTTTTTTAATAATGTCAACTAAAATTTATTTAAAAAGGATGGAAGAAAAAAAGAAGTCGGATTAACTATAGTAAGGCCCCGTTTGGTTCACGGAATGAATTTGAGGAAAAATCATTTCCCATGTCATTTCCCAAGGAATGAGAAATGGAAAATTCTTTTCTCACGTTTGATAATGCTGAGAAAGTAACCGAGAGATAACACTTTATTTCCTTTCATATGTTTGTTTTGAGTAGGAATGAAAAACAAAGTTTGTACAAATTTTCAATTATACCTATATTAAATTAAATAAAAAAAGAATACATTTAATAATATATTGTAATTCTAAATTGTTAATAAGGATAAAATGGTCATGAAAAAGGTGTATTTAATATTGGTTCATTTCCTCAAACTTTCCTATAAGGAGGGAAAACAAAACCCAAGTTGAGAGGATGACTTCACTTTCCCCCTACTTTCTCATGGACTAGCCAACGATTTCCCATTCCTGGACTTACCAAACATGAGAAAGTAATTGATTTCTCATTCTTAATTCTCTTTTCCCATGACCAAACGGGGCCTAAGGGCACTTTCAGCGCTCCTCTTTTGTTGGGGCAGGAGGGAGCCTAGACCTAGCAATTGGCTCCAGCACGCAACAGCAAGACTGGGCAGCTGGTGGGCTTCACAAGCCTGGGTAGGCCCGAAGGCAAATCTTGCATGACGTCATCGATAACGTCAGCAACGGAAAAAAATTAGAAAAAAAAAACCTAAAATTTTAGAATTTCTTTTAAAAATAAATACATAGTCATATTTTTCACTTCTTACACTAAAATTAATGGTTTAAGTATAAAAAATATAAAATAAATTAAAGTGAATAGTAATTTTCCTTGCCCTTTGGAGTGAAAATAAAAAAGGTAAGGCTGCCACTATTCATGTGAATAGTGACAAACCTTGCCTTACCTTGCCTTACCCTTTGGGGTGGATGTGCTCTAAACCCCCCAACCTATAAGGGTCATTACAAACTCATACACACCTTTATTGACCATTACATAAACTTTGTGAATCCTTTCATAAAACACCATCCATCACTCAGTCTGTCAGGAACCTCATTAAGTGATGAGCTAGCGCTGTCAACATAGGTATTTTTGATAACGTGGAGCAATTTAAAATTGTTGACAAAAGACTTGAGCATACAAAAGAAAAGGCCTATGAGCCCCAAAATCGTCAAATCTCTAATTTTATCTCCTCTATTTTTTTTCCAATTGATACGAAAATGGAGGTGTCAAAGTGTGGTTGTGGTAAGTGAGCTCAAGAGTTTACTTCCTGGATTGATGTGAACCTTGGGAGACGTTTCTTTGGATGTGCGAAGCACGGGGGTAAGAGACACGAGTTTTGTGTTTTTGAATTTCTCTTTTTTGTTGTTGTGAAGTTGGGTTAGAAAGTGCTTGACTTGATGTAATGTACAGAGAGGACAAGAGTGCAACTTCTTTCAGTGAATTGATCCCGAATGTGTGAAAAGTCTAGGACTGTTATTCCTGGGTTGCTGAGAAAGGTAAAAAAGCATGAGGAGTTGCAAAGAAAAGTGGTGACAAGAGGGAATGTTATGTGGGTAGTGCTACTGGGTTCATGGGTTACAATTTTGGTGCTTTTGTTGGTGTTGTTTGGTGAGGGCTCGAGAAAGCATGTACCTAACAAAAATGTTAGGCTAGAATTAGAATTTTAGGCTTTGTCTTAGTCATTGTTTTGCAAAGGGTATTTGTATGATAACACTGTAATGAAATGTAAGTTATGTCATATCTGTAATGAAGTTGTAAACCTTTACATTTTGAAATGAGAGAAGTATAGTTGAAAAAGTGGGTGTGAAATGAAGTTGAAAATGCAAACCTTACATTTTGAAATGAAGTTGTAAACTTTACATTTTGAAATGAGATAAGTAGAGTTGAAAATATGGGTGTGAAATGAAGTTGAAAATCCAAACCTTACATTTTGAAATGAAGTTGTAAACCTTTACATTTAGTAAACTATTTATATAAAAAAAAAAAAACAGGTGTGAAAATGCAAGTGTCAAAATACATAAGTTCCAATATGAAAGTGTATAACTTCCCATTTGTAAATACAACCAAACTGAAGTGTCAAAATACATAAGTTGACATCTCCAAAGGATAACCATTCCCATAAAATATACCAAATTAGAGTTGAAATCTCAAAATATACCAAATTAGAGTTGAACATAACTTATCTCATATCAAAATGTACCAAATCAGAGTTGAACATAATTCTTCCCATCTCAAAATATACCAATTCATAGTTGAACATAACTCTTCCCATATCAAAATATATCAATTCAAGCACAGTTCAACATAAGCAAAAAAAGAAAAAGAAAAAGAAAAGTAAAGATGTGGATTCATTTCACTTGTCCTTGCACAATTATTTTTTGTTTCTTTCCCAAGTTATGGGTTGATTTGTAGCTTCTTGTCCTCACTGCAATTGGTGCATTTATTGAATTCTTTGATTGTGAGCTTCTTGTCCTCATTGCAATTGGTTCAATTGAAGGGTTTGATTCCTGTATACATCAAACAATTGTATACGCATAGTTACTATGCTTACCATACAATTGTATACATCAAACAACATACTAGGGTTTAGAGACTTACATTTGGAGGTTCTCTAATTTTTTTCTTACCCCTGGCAAATTTTCTTTTTGTCTTCCCTTTGGAGCCATATGCTTTTCCAGTTTTCTTCTTTTGCTTTGGAGGTAGATGTCTGTGATGAGTCCTGCTGTTGTGACCTTATTCTCCACAGTGGCTGTACCTCATAGCAATGCCCTGTTTTCCAAGCAATTTCTTCCCCTATTTATCGATTTTCTCCTTAGCCTCTTTTCTCCTTAGTTTCTTTAGTCTTCCTGGCTGTCTACTGTATGATTTTGACTTAACAACTTCATGCTTAGACCTGGCCCATAGATTTGGACCATTAATTTGCATAAGGTTGTCATAGGCTCTCAGGTAGGCAGTTCTGCTAATGCAAGAGTTGACATACTCTTAAACTGGTTTACCCCATTTGTAATGTGCTGCAACAATACCATGTGCACATGGTATACCACTCAAGTCTCATTCCCTGCAAGAACAGGTGTGTCTGTCTAAGTCCATTACATATTGATCCCTTTTCCCACCATCCACTTGATATTTAGCGCCTCTTGACCACATGATAGTGCATTGGCCAGACAAAACCTTTTTGGCTTGTAGTTTGTTAAAAATGTTAGGGCATAATTCATGAGGCCAACTCATCATCTTGCACATTCTAGATGATATTCTACTCATCAATAGGCATCTTATCATCTCCACCAAAGTTATGTTTGGCTTATCTCTTACAGGTTTAATTATGTTATTAAATGACTCACGCAGGTTGTTGATGAGCATATCACATTTCACAGCTGAGTTGAAGTGTAATTTAGACCATTGTTGTGGAAGCTTAGACACTAGCCACTCCCAGGTCCCAACATGAATAGTCTTTAGATGATCCATGCACCTCCAATATTACTTAACTATATTGGCTCTTGCACAACCCCAGTACATGTCTTTAAGTGCCTTGCCCTTGTACAGTTTTATGTACTTGCTGAATAGATGCCTAGCACAAAAACGTTGCTTAACATTAGGTACTACATCTTCAAATGCTCCAGGCAATCTTTTTTTCCTTTCATAAATAAACGACCACCCATGTGAGTTAACAATTCCAATATCAGCAACTAGCAGTTCAAGGAACCAAGTCCTAAGAGTCCCTTGTCTCCATTTCCACCATTGCATAAGCAATGACCCAAGTCTCATTGTTTGCATCTATCCCAATGGCTGTCAATCCCCCGTAGACTCCCTTTAAGTGACAACCATTTAGCCCAATTATAGGTTGTACACCCTCCTAAACAAACATAAAGTCTTTGAAATATTATATCATTGCCATTAAAATCACACTTCATTTTCATAGTGGTTCACAGATTAGTTCTCTTCACTTTTTCACAATAGTCCCACAACCTGCTATATTTTGAAGCCATAATCCTTTCTATCAATTGAAGAGCAGCTCTTTTGGCTCTATAGTGCTTTATGTGTGAAACACCAACAACTAATTCCTTAGCAGCAACATCTAGAAGTGATTTTGGTAGAATTTGAGGATTGGATTGAACTCTATCAATGAAAGTGTAAGTTATCCATTTGGTAGTGGCTTGTTTATTCTTCCAAACCCTACTACAATTATGGTTGGGGTTGTAAATCTTCACAACCAAGGTCTTATCCACAGAACTCTTAGCATATACATATATATGCCATATCATGGGTCTTTCTTATAGTAAACCTTCAGTTTGTATTTTTCATTCCTCTTAAAATATATATCTTACCCATGTTTCAGGCAAGGTGCTTTAATTGCTTCTCTAAACACATGACAATTAGAAAACAATATGCCCAACTCAAACTATAGATCATGGTTGTCTGTCTCAGGATTGTATTTTGTGAACCTCTTAGTCGAACCACCTTCTTCCCCATCTGATGCAGCCCACAGCTCAACATTAATATGGTCACATTCTTCAATATCTTCTAGTGGCTTAAAATCACTGCAAAAAAAGACCCATCATGTCTAGTTCTTCCTTGATCAGACCCAGTGGCACCATTTTCAGGCTTATTTCCACTCAGGCCCAGGTCCATCTTGAGGATGACCATTTGCACCTTGATCAGGCCCATCTTGTTCAGGCCCATTTGTATCTTCTTCAAACCCATTTGTAGGTAGTTTAGGCCTATTTGTAGCTTCAGTTATGGCCTCAATTGCAAATTCATGTGCAACCTGGCCTTGTGTATTTGTAAATGAAATACCACCCAACCAATCATCTCCAACTAAGGTAGTCAATATCATCATTGTCATACATTACATACCCAATATTTACCAATCTGGAGTCGTTAGCAGGATAACCATCACAGG